TCCTAGACATGTGTCCACATCGCTAAATCCAGAGATTTCCTTCCCCCTTATTTGAGATTTCCAGCACTTAGAATGGTGTTTTGTATCCAGTTGGTATTTAATACTTGTTTAATTGAACTTAATTGATACTACATGACAGAAGGGGTTAAGGTGTTGACGTGCGGGAAGCTGGTGCTACATTATTTTTTTGCTGCTGTGACTGAATATGGTCAACTTGATAGAAAAAAAAAATTTTTAGGGCTTTTAAAAAACCCTCAATACTCAAATACTTAATATTCCCCTCTCTGTCCCCCCACCCCCACCCCTTCTGCTTGGACTCTTGAGGCAAAATACATGTAGTCAATTATTTATTCTTCTTTTAGATTAGGCACTTATAAAAACCTAGGAATAATCATATCAAAGGGTCATATAAACACATTTAAGAAACACAGAATCTTGACCATGAATAATTGCTTCAGGAAATGATTTACATTCATTACTAAATAAGAATTTTCAATATGGGCAAAAAAATCCAGCAACATCCAGTTTGCTTTTTTGGCCTCACAACACTTTGAGAATATTAAACAAATTTATTGATATGGTTTATCCAATTTGCATACCCATAAAAAGGAACTTGGAGAGAGGGCAGCTAAACAGCCAAATAACACAACAGCTTTTTTAGCTTTCAGAAACAAATTTGTGAGGTTAATAACTGGAATGGCCTTGGATTCAAGGTTAACACAGTCACATATGCAATATAATTATCTAACCCTGACAAAGTCACCCAAATGGGGAGGTCAACTCACAGCTCTTATGCACTCTCAGGATGGAATAATTAATTTAAAGGACAAGAAGAAGGTGGTTAGAAATGGCCCCTGACAATATTTTGAGTGATCTGATATACATACTCACTAGACCTGCTCAGGGATGTTATTTTAGTTGGCCGGCCTTGAAAGGTAGAAGTAGTGCTGCCTTTGCAATCCAAAACCCTGGGCTTGAACATTGGTTTTGCTATGCACCGATTGTTAGACCCTGGGTTCTACTATAGTAACTCTGCTATGTACTGACTGTCAGACCATGGACAGCCTCTGAGCCCCAGGTTACTCATCAATAAAATGAGATGGGGGTTGGGGGCAAGGTAGCCTAAATGATCTCCAAGGTCCTTTTCAGCTCTAAATCTACTTGGTGTCTGTCTTGTATTTACCTTTTTATGTATACATATTGTCTGCCCCTTTAGAATATAAGCTCCTTGAGGGCAGTGACTGCTTTGGCTATGTTTCTTTGTACCCTCAGTGCTCAGTACAGTGCTCAAGTACATAGTAAATGCTTGTTGATGGATCAGTCGTATGACTTACGTATGTTCAGATTACATCCCAGGTTGTAACAACTTTTAACATAGTTTTTTTTTTTTTAATATTCCAATCTAACTTCACTGCCTCATAACGGTGTGGGGATGGTCTGATTCTCAAAGGCCAGCTCAAGCAGGCGGGACGAAACTGGAAAGGCCCTGAATCTGGGCCTCATGATGAGCTGTATGTCTTTATCTGATGACCTATCTATGCAATGTCAAAGAAGCTCTTTACCAGGTTGGGCCCAGCACCTGTTAAGGAGAATATCCTAGCATTAAGAGGTTGCAGTTTAAGTCAGTAGGAGTGCCCAAACTGATAAAACGATAGATCCTTTAAGTCTTGAAGCGTTTAGGTGTTAAAGCAATGATGATCATAGTTGTATTAATACCCTCCAGATGATTTCCACACATAGTCCAGGATTTTCTTTTTCTTCTTTTAAACCTAGTGCTTCTCAATCAGTCTGGTTAATTATCTTGACACAATATTCACAAAGAGGGATACATGTGGATAGAGGCTTAAATGTTTTTTGATGATGATGGGAAAAACATGAACTGATACTGTTTGTATTATTCAACTTGTCTTCCTCTCAAGTCTTGAAAAATGATTACTTTCCCTTGCTGTGAAACAAGTCCAGTGTTAGCTCAACAACTATACATTTAACTTAGTGTCCTTCTGATCTACAACTCTGCCACCTTTGCCCTCCACATTGACTATATCCTAAGAAGAAATGAATCAGAATTAGAATCAAATGTGTTGTTAACAATACAGTATTAGTTTAAATGGGTACTCCATACAAGTTTATACTGTTTTTCAAGCTCCTGGGGACCCGAAAAGACAAAACTCATTTCTCCAATAATAAAGAAAAGGTGAACTATTTTTCTAGAAATAGAAAAACTAACAATTTTGTGGCCCAAAAGACTTGTATTTTAAAGCTATATTATTGCAATAAATTTTCTTAGGTATGGAGATAAAAGAACAAAGCAGCACTTAAAAGATCAAAGAATTAAGGAAAACTACTGTGAGATGCACATGTGATACCTAACACGTCAAAAAGTAGTTATCATTAAGATGAGGATAGTATCACAATTCAAAAAGAGATGAGAATCTCTTGCCTGGGAAACCAGAGAATGGCAGAAGACAGCACAGTAGAGTGGGAAACTTCCTACAGTAAGAGCTGGGGGGCTTTGGTTCTAGTCACGGCTTTGCTAGTTATTAGCCGGGGACTTGGGCAAAATACTGAAGATCTCTGATCCTCTTTCCTCACTTGTAAAACAAGGGGGTTAGATGAGATGACCTCTGAAGTCTCCTCTAGCTCTGACACTGGATGATTCCATGACAAAGCATTTCACATTCTTATATCTCCTGATACTATAAAACTAGGTATAACTGGGTGAGATCCAACAATTTCTTAAAAGAAGACAAAGGAGATTCCATTATGGTATGTAATCCTAGTCAATGCATAACCATAATTTAATACACTCCTTTTCTCTTAAGTTTTAGGAGAAACAAACCACCATCTTGTTAAGCCAAGAGGCCTATGAAAAATATCTTGAGTTCATTTACTTGAATTCTTACTTAGATCTACACTAATGAAGTCACATATCAATAAAGAAAATGAAATTTTAATCTCCAAACAAGCTCATCTTCTAGATAAAACAACTTCATTTCATTAAAAATAATCCAGTTTGCATCTGGGTTCATATTCATTCTGAGCCAGCTGAGTAATTGCCAGTATAGCCCTGAATTGGTTTAGATTCAATCCTGTTTGAGAGTAGGGACTTAACCAGATGAATTACTGGTATTCCACTAAAACAGAAAAAAATAAATATTCATATAGCACTCTGAAGTTTACAAAACCCTTTCCTAACAACAATTCTGTGAAGTGGGCAATGCAATGGTAGTTATCTTCATGAGATTCAGTTAGGTTAAAAAATTCGCCCAAAGAATAGTACTTTCATACTTTAAATGACATTATAAAATAGCAGTCATGAAAACCATCTGGCATTGATTAAGAAATAGAGTTAAATCAATTGAACAGACTAGACGAGGGAGACTCAGAAACAATAGAACTCAACAACCACTGGGTGTTGAAAAAAGTAGAAAACATAAATTACCTGGGAAAAAATTCCTTATGTGACAAAAACTGTTAAGAAACCTGGAAAGCCGCCTAGCAGAAATTACAGTTAGGCCAACACCTTACACTACGGTTCTACAAAACATTCTAAATGGATGTACACCCTTAGTATTAAAGATTATGCTATTAAAAAATTATCACAGACTTCTCACAATTATGGCTAGGAGATGTATTCTTAACTAAACAAGAGATAGAGGCAATTACAGAAGATAATAAAATACATAACTTTGATTACTTGAAAACTAAAAACTTCTGCATAGACAAAATGAGTGCATCTAGGATAAGTAGAGAAATGGTTGAATGGGAATAAAATCTTTGTATCAGATTTCTTTGAAATGGGTTTGGTATCCCAAATGTATAAATAACTAAATAAACAAATAAAGCCTCTCCTCACCAATCTTCCCGTTACTCTTGAGGGCAGTGCCACTTTCCTAGTTGCTCAGGCCCGCAATGTAGGAGTCATTCTGCATTCCTCACTATCACTCACCCCCACATCCAAGCTGTTGTGAAGGCCTGTTGATTTCACCTTTGCAATGTCTCTTTCATAAGCCCCCTTCTCTCTTCTGACACCGTCACCACTCTCATGCAATCTCCTCATCACCTTGCACCTGGACTACTGTAACAGCCTGCTGGTGGGTCTGCCTGCTTCGAGTCTCTCCCCACTCCAATCCATCCTCCATTCAGCCACCAAAGCAATCTTCCTAAAGCACACACCCGGCCATGTCATCCCTTCCCCCTGCTCAATATACTCCAGTGGCTCTCTATGGCCTCCAGGATCAAATACAAAATGCTCTGCCTGGCATTCAAAGACCTTTGTGGTCTAACCTCCTAACTTTCCATTCTTGCACCTTATTCCCTGCCACCTACTCTTTAATTCAGTGACATGGGCCTCCTGGCTGTTCTAGGAACAAGATACTCCACCTTTTAACTCTAGGTGTTTTTCCTAGATGGCCTCCTCCATGCCTGGAATGATTTCCCAAATCCCAATAAATCCCAAATGAAACTCCATCTTTTACAGGAAGCTTTTCCTAACCCTTCTTAATTCTAGTATCTTTCCTCTCCTAATTATTTGTTATTTATCCTGTATATAGGTCATTTGTACATATTTATTTACTTGTTGCCTCCCCCTTATGAGCTCCTTGAGGGCAGGGACCCTCTTTTGCCTCTTTTTGTATCCCCAGTGCTTAGCGCAGTGCCTTGCACACAGTAGAACCTTAATAAATGTTTACTAAGTGATTTGCCCAGTGTTATGCAGTCATGAGGCACCACAGACAGAACTTGAATTTGGGTTTTCTTCACTCCAAGGGCAGCCCTCTATCGACTACACCACACTGCCTGTTATGAGGTAGTTAGGGCATACATGTAAATGTGTAGTAGAAATGTATTCTTTATTTAACAGCTGATGAAATATTTCAGTGAATTTTCAAAATCAAAAAAAGTATCTAAGTTAGGACTCAAGCTTAGGGTTTTTGACTCAGTTCAAAACCTTTGTGTGATTTGTGTTTGAAAATCATCAGCAAAAATATGCTGATAGTTACCTGTAGGAGAGGCCGCTGCACTCCCAGTACTTTCATGGTATCTGCATTAGCCAGGATCTTTAAAGGGTCAGACGTCTTGGTGACTCCTTCAATCTCTTTGTTGATCTCTGTCAAGACCTGGCTGAGGAATATGTTTTTGATGTACATGGTGAGAAACTCTCGAAGAGGACACTGTTTGGCTGGACCAAGTCCCAAGGCATGCTCGATCTCTTGAATAAACCTAGAAGAATAGAGGAGAGAAATCATATGTAATAAACTCATTGAATAAAGGGGTCAGTTATAAAAATGCTTCATAATTCTTTCAAAGTGTCACCAGACTTAGGGCAATTCTATAGAGTAAATGGGAGAGATTCCCAAAATGTCAATTTTCTAGGTGGAATTCTTAAGAACAGAAGGCTACAGTGAGATTATCTTCCATTTATCTTGCTTGAACTGTTATTCTGCATATTGTCTCCCCCATTAGAATACGATGTCCTTGAGATTGAGGACAATTTCTTTTGCCTTTCGTTCTATCTCCATTGCACCTTGTGTGACACAAATTGAGCATTTAAAAAAGGCTTGTCGATTGAGAACTGACTACAACCATTACTATCACTGGACTTGTTTTTTTTTAATTTAGGAAACTCTAAAGGTGACCAGACAAACCTAACTACAAATTTCTGAGATAGTACAACCAAGATTGTCACAGTGGAAGTTACCCATGACAAGAAAATAGAAATGGCCAAACGAACAGAAATCTTTTTAAGGCCTCTCAACTTATATGGTTAATGCCATCAAGGATCCAGAAGAAGGCAGACGGTGACTAGTCCAACTGTAAGATAGCAAAAAACACTTAAGGGAAGCTTGAACAAGTTGGTGAAGAAAATGGAGAAGCAAGCTGGAGAGTTAAGAGGAAGAACAGTTTTTAAAGGTATCTATTGGCCAGTCATTGCTGGTCAGAGGACACTGGTGAGATTGTTGTTTTAGTTGAGTTTGCAATCCCCATTTCCCAGTACACCTAACCTCTCCAGTCTTAGCCAGCCTGCAAAGAAATCCCTGTTCTCTTTTGACTCACTTTTGAAAGCAAATTAGCTTTATGAATATGATGACAATGAACTCTACCAAAATTTCTTTTTCAAAAAGGGAAATGTGGTTATGGGGATCAAATATCAGAATTACAATTAATTGATTTACTCTTTTCAAAAGAATGGTTGGAAAAAGTGTCTTTTGAACAAACACTTTCTGAACATTAAGTGCTTCTGACATTTCCAAAGCTCGTAACATTTATTAGAGAGTTTTTTTTTTTTCCTTTACTGGTCACCATGCCCCTATACAGATTGATACAATGTTCTCAATTATCTCTGTATTTTTTTTCCCTTCCCAGTTCCTTGTTTGCCTTTGGTGTCTTTAGAATACAAAACTTCTTTGAGTAACACTGATGGAGTGCCTCCTGTCAACTTGAGCTGAGTGGTTTCTTTCAAACACAAATCAGCTTTTATTCCCTAAAGCTTATACTATCTTGACTTCATCAGTCTAAAATGACATATCCAGGTTGATGTTGTCATCTCTAACTTGAGGGGACCCATTTAACATAAGTTTCCAAATCTCTCAGAACTAGTAGGGACCTCAGTGTGTAAAGGAATAAAAAAAGAAAAATGAGAGAGAAAAAAGAAACAAACAAGAAAAACTCCACAAAAATAAGCTGCCTTACCAGCTCCTTCTTTACCCCAGTCAGTAACAGTAAGAAACTCTGTTAAACTGAAAAACTGCCCTTCTCTGAGCAGAAAAGACACAGATCAGAGGCAATGTTTGCTTACTGAGGAAGCAATCAATGTCTGGGCGGAACAGCATTTGTTGGTATTTCCTAATAAGACTGGAGGAAGAAGTAGATACAAGAAGAAACACTGATCCAGATTTTTTTTCCAACCTCTTTTAATGTCATTTGGCCACATTATAGAATCTCAGACTTGGAAGGGCCCTGAGAGCCCATCTAGTTCAACCCTTACTTGAAAAAGAGTTCAATCCTCAATACCACTGACAAATTCATTCTGTCTTTTCTTAAATTCTCCAATGAGGAGATTCTCTAGCTTGTTACTTCTGACTAAGAGGTTCAGAGGATCTCAGAACTGGGAAGTCCTTAGATCTTCTTTGAGGTACAGATTTCTTGATCATAGGAATTAGAAATAACCAGTATATTTTCTCTAATTTCTATGAGGGTTGTAGGCTTGTCATTTTCTAAAAACAAAAAAAACCCAAGTCCAAATGGTTCTCTAAATAAAATTAATCTAGATAAAAGCAACAAAGCAATTTAATATATAGACAAAAAAATCCAGCTAATTTTGGAAATATGAAACAGATGATCTAGTTCATTCCTTCTCAGGGCTTTTCAACTCTGTACAAGTACTTGTCAAATGCCTCCCCATGATCTTTGACTCAGATAATTCACCAAATTGGCTTATTTTTAAAAAATATATTTTAATTTATTTAAATATTTCCAAATAACATGTAAAACAGTTTTTTAACAATCATTTTAAAAAATTTTGAGTTCCAAATTCTTTCCTACTCTTGTACCACTGCCCCGTTCCTTGAGAAAGCATACTATCTGATAGCAGTTATACATGTGAAGTCATGCAAACATATATCCACAGTAGCTACATTGCAAAAGAAGGCACAGACAAAATAATAAAACAAGAAAAATAAAAAAGTAAAAAAGAAAACCAGTTTGCTTTAATCTGCATTCAGAATTCATCAGTTGTCTCTCTAGAGCTGGATACCACTTTTCATCATGAGGTCTTTGGAATTGTCTTGGTTCATTGTCTTGATCAGAGTAGCTAAGTCTTTCACAGTCAATCATCCTTATAATATTGCTGTTCAATGTTCCCTTGGTTCTTCTCACTCTATTTTACATCAGCTCAAGTAAGTCTTCCCAGGTTTTTCTGAAGTCTGTCTGTTCATCATGTCTTATAGCATAACAGTATTCCATCACAATCATATACCCCAACTTGTTCAGTCATTCCACAATTGATAGGCATCCCTTCCATGTCCAATTCTTAGCTACCACAAAAACTTCCTTTTCCCTTTTCTTTGATCTCTTTGGGATACAGACTTAGTAATGCTATTGCTCAATCAAACGGGATACAGTTTTATAGCCCTTTGGCCATGGTTCCAAATTGTTCTCCAGAACGGTTGAACTAGTTCACAACTCAACCAACAGTACATTAGAGTCTGAATTTTTCCACATTATCGCTAGCATTGGTCATTTTCCTTTTCCATCATGTTAGCCAATCTGATAGACGTGAGGCAGTATCTCAGAACTGTTTTAATTTACATTTTTCTAATCAGCAGTGATTTAGAGCAGTTTTTCATGTGACTATTGATTGCTTTGATTTCTTTTTCTGAGAACTGCCTATTCATATTCTTTGACCATTTATCAGCTGGGGAACAACTCTTATTTTTATGAATTTGAATCAGTTTCCTATATTGTTGAGAAATGAGGCCTTTATCAGAGAAACTTGTAACCCCCTCCTTTACTGTTTTACTTCTAATTTTGGCTACTCTAGTTTTATTTGTGCAAAAGCTTTTTAATTTCATGTAATCAAAATTATTTATTTTACTTCCTGTGATCCTCTCTATCTCTTACTTGGTCAAAACCTCTTCCCTTACCCCATAGATCTGATAGGTACATTTTTTCCATGATCCCCTGAGTTACTATGATATCACCTTTTATGTCTAAATCATTTATCCACTTTAAGCTTAACTTGGTATATATGATGAGAGATGCTGGTCTATGCCTATTTTCTGCCAAGCTGCTTTCCAGTTTTCCCAGTAATTTTTGTCAAATAGTGAGTTCTTACCCCAAAATCTTGGATCTTTGGGTTTATCAAACACTAGATTATTATGGTCATTTACTACTGAGTATTGTGTATCTAATCTAATCCATTGATCCACTACTCTATTTCTTAGCCAGCATAAGGTTGTTTTAATGATTACCATTTTGTAAGATAGTTTGAAATTTGGAACTGCTAGGCTGCCTCCTTTCACATTTTTTTTCATTGATTCCCTTGATATTCTTGACCTTTTGTTCTTCCAGATGAATTTTGTTATTTTTTTCTAACTCTATAAAAGTTTTTTTAGTAGCTTGATTGGCATGGCTCTGAATAAGTAAATTAAATTAGGTAGAATTGTCATTTTTCTATTGGCTTAGCTTACACATTAGCAATTAATATTTATCCAGTTGTTTAAATCTGACTTTATTTATGTGAAGTGTTTTGTAATTGTGTTCAAATAATCCCTGGGTTTGTCTTGGCAGGTAGACTCCCAAATATTTCATATCATCTGTAGTAATTCTAAATGGAATCTTCTCTTTCTATTTCTTATCAGGCACGTTTTGTTAGTAGTATATACAAATGCTAATGATTTATGTGGGTTTAATATCCTTCAACTTTACAGAATTTATTAATTATTTCAACTAGTTTTTTAGTTAATTCTCTAGGGTTCTCTAGGTATACCACCACATCATGCAAAGAGTGATAGTTTTGCTTCCTCATTGCCTATTTTTTAATTGTTCCTTAAATGTTTGGTGGAATTCACTTGTCAATCCATCTGGTCCTGGAGATTTTTTCTTAGAAAACTCATTTATAGCTTGTTCAATTTCTTTTTTTAAGATAGAGTTATTTCCCCTTCTCTTAATCTGGGAAGTTTATATATTTGTAAATATCCACTTAAATTGTCAGTTTTCCTGGCATATAATTGGGCAAAATAGCTCCTAATAATTGCTTTAATTTTATCTTTATTGGTGGTGTATTCATCCTTTTATTTTTTGACACTAGTAATCTGGTTTTCTTCTTTCTTTTTTTTAAATGAAATTAACCAATAATGTATTTATTTTATTGTTTTTTCCTATTAAACCAGTTCCTAGTTTTATTTATCAGTTCAATGTTTTTTTTTTTTAATTTCAATGTTATTAATCTCTCCTTTGACTTTGGACTTGCATCTTGGTGTTTATCTGGGGATTTTTAATTTGTTCTTTTCTATTTTTTTTAACTTTCATGCCCAATTTATTAATCAGTTCTTTCTCTACTTTACTGATGCAAATAACTAGAGATATAAATTTTCCCCTATGCAATGCTTTGGCTGTATCTCACAAGTTTTGATATGGTGTCTCATTGTTGTCTTTATCTTTAATAAAATTGATTGTTTATATAATTTGTTCTTTGACCTACTTGCTCTTTAGGGTTAGAT